AGAGAATTTTTCTAACTATACATTTGGATGCGCCTCAAAATACCAGTATATAGCAGTAAGACATTTTTAAGATGTGTTTAGTGTTCTCTGCTGTTGCGTTGTGAGAGTCTACCAACTACAAGAACAAATGCTAACCCTCCATCATTTCATAAAATTTTGAACTAAAATGTTTAATATTACAGCCCATTTTCCACAAATGCCACTCAAAATGTTTAAAATGGGTTTTTGTATATGTTGTGTGTAGCGTGATTTCTTGCAAAAATTTTATTGAAGAACCTGAGTCGAAGAGACCGCTTCAAAGACTTGTAGATGGGAATGTAAATATTAAAATATATCTTAATCCTTTAAATCGTGACGGTAAATGTATGTCCCACCTGCTTCAGCAACGAGTAATTATTTATTTGATATTTATGGGTTTCATATGATTCTCAGTGTGAATAGGGATTATTTCCTTATACAGTTGTGTTTTATTTGCAGTACAGACTGATATAATTACACGTTATTTCTAAAACTTGTCAGTTTTTGCTGTGCTCCGAGTAGTCCTAGTTTCATGTAAATTTAACTACGTTGTCACCAATGTTGTAACTGAAGAAATGTTTCAGTTGTACTGCAATATTTTTCACCAGGGTTTATAAATACTAGTTAAACGTGCTCGCTGATTAACGAAATGTACATTCCTGTACGCTTACACTGAGGCTAAAATTGTATGTCTTTTACATAGACTGTATGTAGGATCTCTGAAATCTGACACTGAAATGGTTGGCATGCAGAATTTTAAATGCTGGATGCGCTGATTTCCTCACAGGCGACACCAGGCTCAGAAACGGAAGATGGTAGCCTCAGGTTAGATCGAGGCACCTATCAGTACATGTACCAGGACATAGTGAACATCAAGACAATGCTTCTAAAGCTCAAGAGGGTCTTACAAGAGGTATGTAGCACCATGCATGTTTGAATGTTGTGTGCCAAATTTTGTAATTTGGACTTCAGTTTGTTTCTTCTTAAAAAAAAAATAAAAAGTTTGTTTCTTCTTAAAAAAAAAAAATAAAAAATAAATAAATGTAATTTTCGTAACTTAGCTGGATCTGTTTGCAGTGTTTCTGCTTGCCTACCTAAACCCTCAACCCTTGACATTTGTTCAAAATAAACAGTGAACTTTGGGTTTCCTTTGCAGCCATCGTGACCTGTCTCCCTAAGACGTTGGGTGCTCTCATTTAATGTAAAGTATTTTCTGACTGTTGTAAATACTGACAGAGTAGGGTAATTGGTGTTGTAATCAGGTGTCTCCAGCACAGGAAAATAGTTATCTAAAAGAAGATGTTGTTAGCAGTTGCTGCAACATTAAATTGTAGCCAAATGTCTGTGTATTACCAAATACTGCAAACATTTTTCTTATTCCACATTGAAGAATGATCGTCTCTACTTACCGCGAAATTAAATTTTTATTTCCTGATCCACGAGCATGCATTCTTGTTCTGCGTAACACTGCCGTCTAGTTTGAAGAATCTGATGTATGTAAATTTGACATGACTGCAATGCTGTTGAAGTTTTGTGCTTTGAGCATGGTTATTGTGCCTGTGTCGATGTTTCTCCATTGTAAGCCATTATAAGATTGTAAAACTGTGTTTTGTAAATATATTTTATAGAATAGTTGATTGATGTGTTGGTAATTTCTATTTATATAAATAGATAATAACTGAACCCTCAGAATGGAAGATTCATACCCAAACCTCTGACTGTATAAAGCCAAGTGTACTTACAGCCATTCACGTTACTTTGCCTCACGACAACTTTACTCGCAGCATGCAATCGGTTCATTTATATTTTAATTTTTGGCCAAGTTATTAAAATTCTTCATTACACTTTATAGTGAGATTTCAGGTTTTTATAGAGGTATTTACTGCCTCTGTCATCAAGGCCTGATGATGGAGGCAGTAAATACTTCTGCAGTAAATACTTACTCCATGGAGCCAAGTCCTTCCTGAGAAGCCAACAGTCGCTCATCCACTAAAGAAATTCCCAAAGGTTCATTACCATGATTACAAGAGCCCGCCACTGTTCCGAATCCTGAGCCAGATGAATCCAATCCATACAACCCCACCCTGTTTTTCTAAGATCGATTTTAATATTATTCTCCCACCTATGTGTAGGTCTTCATAGTGGTCTCTTTCCTTCTGTTTTGCCCACCGAAACCCTTTATCCATTCCTATCTCTCATATGGGCTACATTCCCTGCCCATCTCATTCTCCTTGACTTGATCAGTCTGATTATATTTGGCAAGTAGTGCAACTTACGAAGTTCCTCATTATGTAATTTTCTCCGGCCTCCATCCATCTTATATCCAAATATTCTCCTCAGCACCCTGTTCTCAAACACCCAGAGTCTACGTTACTCCCTTAGTGTCAGAGACATTTCACATTCACACAAAACTACAGGCAAAACTATAGTTCTGTATATTTTAATCTTTATGTTTTTAGACAGTTGACAAGGAGACAAAAGTTTCTGAATGAATGATAGCAAACGTTACTCTAATTTAATCAGCTCTTAATTTTCTCATGAATAAAATTTACATTTGTTTCTGTCATTCCCAAATATCTGAACTTTGCCTCATTATCAATTACCCATTAGCTGTCTTTATGTTACGATTTTGACCTGTATTCTGGTGACAAGACTTCAACATATTCTTGGTTTTCTTTGTGTTTACTTCTAGACCAACCTCCTTATAAGCGCCAATTATGGTGTCTGCATTTTTCTTTGATATCTGTTATCCACCAATAGATTTACGTCATCACCATAGACCTGAATCTGATGTGTCCCATTCAATTTCTGTCCCACTTGGTTTTCTTAGGCCTTCCTAATTGCATATTCCAAATGAATTTTGAAGAGCAATGGTGTTAAATCATCTCCTTGTTTTAGACCATTTTGTGTAGGAAACGTGTCAGACATGTTTACCTATATAGTGGGATACTGGGAACGACCCATTCTTCAAGTGCCTGAGCACTGCTGGTCCCAACTTTTTGTTCGTTCGACCTATAGACATTCGGTAGGACACCTTGGATGAGGGATCGGCCCATCGCAAGGCCTCTACCTGTACACAGGACAGCACAACAGAGAAAAACGCGGACAAACATCCATGGCTTGAGTGGGATTTGAACCCACGGTCCCAGTGACCAAGCGGCACAAGGCCCACGCCTCAGACCGTGCGGCCACTGCGGACCCCATATTGTCTAAGACTAGTACAAATAGCAATGTTTTCTTTGTTATTTTCCAAGTCTCTAAGTCTTTTATTTTTAAGCAGTGACATGGGTAGGGCATGGTATAAATGATAAATATTTACAGTATTTTGATAAAAGGTATGAAAGGAGACCATTTGGAAGATTGAGGCGTATATGGGAGGATATCATTCAAATGGATCATGAGGAAATATGGTTGGAGGGTATGTGCTAGATTCATTTGGCCTATAAAAGGGGTGGGTGGCGGAGAATTTGACTACCTGAGCGTACTATTAGTTCCACAAAAAGGACTTTGCTCCATGGAGTAGCTCATAGTTTGTTTTAAAGCACTGCGTTACTAACACTTCTTGTGTGTCTGTATTTATTGCGTTTATATTGTTTCCTATGTTCGACCTTATTACTGTCATTTCATATGTGGACTCAAGCTATTTGCAGTGTTATCAGTTACTTTGTTATGTGTAGGTAATTCTGTATGTGTTAGCACACTTTGGCTCAGGAAACATCTACATATTAGTTAGCAACAGCGTTTCTTAGGATGTAAAAAATTTCCGCAGTGATCATTACCGTTGTAATTCGACATGTGAAATTTGTTAATAGTATGAGGTTGTAAACTTGTCTGCAAATTTTCTATACAGCAGTTTTTGTGTATTAATATGTATCAACGTAAAAATAGTATACAGCAGTTGTTGGGTATTAATATGTATCAACGTAAAAATAGCATTAACCTTTGGTGGAGCAGAAAAGTAGTTTGTACAATGATGTGGATAGTTTCTGAGCCAAAATAGTGCTTATGATCTCATAGGCAGTTGGAAGTGTCATGTTTTGATTTTATTATGCTGCTGTTAGCCCTTTAGTGTCAATCCAACCTTTGCTTCGGCTGTGCGCACTGCCCACACTGAGTTGAAGCATTTGTTCTAATGAATATTCTGAGGACAAGATTTTACGTATGGTGCGTTCTATTCTGTTATGAAATATTGCATTTCTGCCTGTCCCTTGTTTGTGTTAATTTATGAATGACTAGTAAAAGAAAACATTAATATGCAGGCCTTTTCTGTCACGGAAAAACAAAAGATAATATGAAATTTATATGATGAGAAATTTTTGGCGGCACAGACTGCTGTTCTGTTGGAGTTCTGAAAAGATGCTTGAGGTTCTTGGGTAGTATCAGACATGTTTGTTAGGGCAACATGAAGTAAAACTGTCTGCCATATGGGATCATAATTATGTATTGAATGTTTATGTTTTTGTTTTGTTTTTGTTCTGTTGTCCTGTTTGGTGTGTGCTCGATTGTTGTGGTGTGATGCTGCCATTCCCTCCCTTGGCAGAATGAAGAGAACGGTTTGATGAGGGTAAGGCGCAACCTAAAGTCTCTGGCATGGAAAAATGAAAAACAATGGAAGATAATAGAAATGTGCCTCAGGAGGTACAAAACTGTATGTGGGATAGACTCACATGCATGGTTAAATTTGCTAAGACTGTGCGCGTTTCACATTTATTAAATTGTGATTTGCATGTTCTCCTAGTGCTTGAAAGTAGTTGAACAAATTTCTCAGATTTGGTCATTGGAGCATTGACATTTGTTTTGAACTTTAATAGGAGTCTAAATGCATTGAGTTCTGAAGATTCATTCTTGAAGTTTTGTAAATGTACCTTCTTTCGTTGCCAAGGATAACTTATCTGGTCATTTGTCTATTCCAAATTTCATTTTCAGATTGTAGTGCAAGGTTTACTACCATAAAAAATGAATAGATGAATAATTTGTCATGAACTTATTTGTAGTGCTTTTGTATTTTCTCGTTATGCAAGGTTTACTACCATGAAAAATTAATAGATGAATAATTTGTCATGAACTTAGGTTGAATTAAATTATGTCGTAATATATTACTCAAAAGCTGTGGTATTTTTTAAAATTTTGTGATTTTTTAAATCTTTTTCTCTATTTCTTTGATACAAAAATATTCAGTTTCATACAAGTGTTTGTTTGTTCATTCTAACATAATATTATGGGCTGTTATTTTCTCTCCTTATTTGTTTTGAATCTGATTTAAATTATACCAAAGAAGGTAATGCGGGGAAATGAAATATGTTGCAACAGCTTTTTATTACATTCTTTCTACCATTGCTCATTGATATAATTATAATTCAGAATTGCATAAGCAGTACAGTTGACAGATAACTAATAAATGAAGACCCCATGATGCATTATATCTAGGCATTATTTATGTAAGTCTTCTTTTCTTTGTTATGTGTGTCTATAATAGATACATTCATAGAAGTACAGTTCACGTCATCTGCTTGTACATGAGGATTCAAGTCCTTAACACAAGTGACCTGTGCACATCTCCTAATAGTTACACTGTCAAGAAATCAAGTGTTTTATGGAACTGTCCATGTTTTATATTGTGCCTACAAATAACGTTGTACTTTTATAACTATTGACATATCATTTTGTGTTAGCATGTGCAGTCAAGAAGGAATTATAAAATAACAAGTTTTGATAAAATATTTGTTTAAAACAGCATTGCATGTTGCTTTATTTCTTGTTTCATTAGTTTTATATTAAGTTCCTCAATATTATTATTGTTTATTACATAATTGAAATTTGACTAGGTACTTTCCAGTATTTTGGAATAATATTGCAGGAAAATTATAGCTTGACAAGAAAGATACAGTTTTATGTGGTTTGGTACTGACATAATGGTTAAACGTGCATGTCTTTGCAGCATATTTTGATTTTGTCACTCCACATAATGTGTGGTAAATTATTGGTAAAAAAAATTTGTAGTTCATTTATATGTTTTTATTTGTTGAAGTCTTATGTGTCAAGTTAACAAAAATGTTAATTTATTAACATGAGGAACAAAAGCATGGTATGAAGTTTAACAACTGATGAATCTGGGTCGTCTGATTATATCAGGTAGTGGTTTTCGTCTCATACTTCCTGTAATTATGAACTGGAGTAGCTCAGTCAGTAGAGTGACTGGGGGTTTGATCCCTGACGGGCAGAGGATTTTTCTTCTAGTCTCTGCGTCCAGATCAGCTCTGAGACCCACCCAGCCTCCCATATAATGGGTACTGGGGTTTTTCCCAGGGGTAAAGCGTCCCCGGATTCTGACACTGACTACTCACCCCTATCTAGTGCTGAGGTTATGAATGAGTAGGAACAATACTTCCTCTCCCCACCCCCCAAGTGCCTGCATGGTGTATAGTGGAACAGCTTTACTTTTCCTTTTACTTTTACTTCCTGTAATGATAACAGTGGCTTATTTTTTAATTTCAGGCAGAAACTCTCAACCCATTCGATGGAACATTGAAGGTAAGATTTGCAGAAAGAAATTTCATATCTATAACAGCCCAAATAGGCATAGTACTTGGAAGCATGATTATGAAATAAAATAAACGTAACACTTAGTTAAGTTCACAGCACAGTGTGCAGGCCTCAGTTATGTTTTAGACTGAAATTGTTATCTCATGGTAACTTAAATTTGTTTTATGTGTATAGAATGGTCTCTTCTACACCTTGGCAAGTAGCGAGGTGATGGCTGGTGCTGACACAGAAGATGGCAGTGAGTCAGGTGTTGGCCATTCACCGCAAGAGGAAGTGGCAGATCTTCGGCGGCAGGTAGATCTATCTTGCTGCTTTCTGCCATACCTAGTGCTGCAGGCTGTGAAAAGATTACTATGGTTTTTTATAAGACGTTAATATTAAAAGATAGAGAAAGACATGTTCCTAAGATATGCATGAACTCTTGAAAACATATTTTGCATGGTTGTGTATCTCAGTCAATTTAGTTTCTGCCTGTGGATTGGATGACGGGTTCAATCCCTGACAGAGGCAAAGGATTTTTCTTCTGGCCTCTGCATTGAGGCCAGCTCTGGGGCCAAACCAGCCTCCTGTCCAGTGGGTACTGGGTGTCTTTTCCCTGGGGGTAAAGCATAACCAGGCCATGATCACTCACCCCCATCTAGTGCAGAGGACGAGAAAGAGTAGAAGCTGTATCTCCTATCTCCCAAAGTGCCTTAATGGTGTGTAGCAGGACAGCTTTACTTTATCATTTATATTACCCACGATTTTAATAGGATATGAATTTTGATTTCAGAACGAGAATGACGTCTTTACCAGAATATTGACTAGATTAGGAATTTCCATCTCTTTGTACTCTGTCATTGACATTATCCCTATTGCTGTTTTATAACGATTTTAAGTGTTTGAGTTTTGGTCACCACAGAGTTTTTGGTACCAAATTGCCGTATTTGTCAAAGAATATTCTTGTATAATACATATAATAACCAGTATCTCTCAACATAGATTGATGGTAGAGTCATCATGCTCTTCAGAATTCTGACAGATGCTGCAATCCACCTTCTGCAGTTTGGAAAGAGTAGCAAAACAGTTTACATTTTGACTGACAGCGTACCATTCAAATTTCCAGTCTGATCAAATGAAATTAACCATGAGATAGACTGTTAGGGCCAAAATATGAATCCAGGCCTCCTCAGTATATAGCAAAAGATTTTTAGTAGATGTTGGTGATTTGTAAGGAAAGCGTTAAAATCCAGTGTTTTAAGACTGTTGAATTGTAACACCATTTTTACATGGCTGATTGCCTGAGAAGTCTTCACTGTGTTCAGTTGCTATGAAGGCTTAACATCTTAATAATTATAATAAGGCCTCAAATTATATCTGAAAGAACCCTGTAGCATTAATAAATAGTTTGTATTTAATGACATGGAATTCGTACAGGTATGAAACGTAAATAAAAATATAAATTGCAAAATATTTTAAAACATAACGCTCAGTAAAAAGTGTGAGTGTGAGACAGATGAAGTAAGGAGCAAAGTAGAATATTACATTGTAATAAAGTTTTGATTTGCAGCGAGTGGAATGGTTAAATCAAGGAAGATATTATGGGGTGGTTATGCAGAAGAAATGGGAAAAACATTAAATGTTTGCATTATTCAGGTGGAAAACTTACAAGGTGGGACAATAAATTGCATTAAAACTCATCTTAAGGAGATACTGTGTCAAGATTGTGTATGGTGAAGATGGCCTTTGGTATTTGTGATGTTAAACCCCAAGGTTCTGTTACCATAAAGTTCGTAAATTATTTTGTTACTTCATGTATTTTGTGAGACTTAAGCCCAAATTGACAGGTTTTCTTTCTGTTCTATAAGTTATTTTCAGTAAGATTTGGAGTTTTCACAGCGGTGAGTATGAAGATTTCTGTCTTCTGGGTTGTTGCGCTGTGTAGTCTGGTCGATGTTTACCAACATTTCTGAGGTCATACTGCCTCCGTCATCAGGGCGATTCTTAGTATGAAGATTTCTGTCTTCTGGGTTGTTGCGCTGTGTAGTCTGGTCGATGTTTACCAACATTTCTGAGGTCATACTGCCTCCGTCATCAGGGCGATTCTTAGTATGAAGATTTCTGTCTTCTGGGTTGTTGCGCTGTGTAGTCTGGTCGATGTTTACCAACATTTCTGAGGTCATACTGCCTCCGTCATCAGGGCGATTCTTAATTTTTCATGTACTGCGAAGCTGAATAATCTCAGCAGGACACTGATATTAAAATGGCTTACAGGTGGTGTTCCTGCAGCAGCAGATGGAGGAGAAGGAACGAACAATACAGCTTCTTCAGCTGCAGATGACAAAGTACACAAATTCGGATTCTGTGACACATGCAGCTGCTAAAGAGTCCTGCAATGCTACTACACAGACTGAGAGGGTATGTTTTCATTTTGAAACAGCTGCATTTAGTAGGGATTGCCAATCTTTCTTGGGTGATGGGCAACTATGAGGAGCTTATAATTTATTGCGGGCACCACATGAAGTAATTTGATTATAACCGTTTTCTCACATCTGTTTCACTAACTGGTCAAACACGAAATATCATGAGAGTGTGACAAATAGTGTAATTAGACAATTAATAGGTTAACAATTTGAAATTTACTATGAATATTCTAAAATTCTTATGGACACCCCTACCTATATCAAGGGCACCAAGGTGCCTGTGGGAATCCTTTTGGCAAACCCTGGCATGAAGGATGATTTTCTGAAGATGTGTGACAGTGGTTTTTTCATTATTCCAGTATTGTGTTTGACATTGTCCATCGTCTGGAGTGTAGTTTGTATACATGTTCCAGGAGATGGTTCTGTTTTCATCTGGCATTGTCGTTATATTGAGAGATTATTTTTTTTTTAAAAATTTGGATACTTGATTATCAATGTGTGAATTATCCAGTTCGCAGATTATCCATGCAGGTCTCTATGCACAACTTTAGTTTAATGTGTTTGTGGGAACTGTATTTATTTCTTCTTTGTTGGAAAACATTTACCACGAGTTCTTATCGAGAAAAAAACTCCATTGTTTAAAACAGTATTGCTGGATTCACAGAAGACCATGCCCAAGAACACTGTATTCAACATTAATTTCTTTCCTCAGTCCTATTTTGTTGTCTTATACATCAGCAAGAATTATGAGAAGATGAGCCTGGTAGCATTCATTATCTTATGGACACAATGACTCAGTATCGGCCCCATAATCTTTGGCTAATTCTGTCACCCTCTCCATTTATATATTTTTCAAGAAACTAGAACTGTTTTTTCACTCTTAGTACAGTTTTCTGATGATTTTCAGCCATTTTACTTAGGATCTACAAGTTTTAACCATCATTTCCACTGAACTGACTCAATACAGTGTAATGGAATTGACTGTAAGAAAGATATTTGAAAAAAGACCAATTATACCTGCAGCATCCCCCATCCACAATCACGATCAATAGAACAGATCTTCTCCTCTACCACCACCATACTGACAGCAAGGTACCAAAAAAATATCACCATCTGCAGATCCTCTCAAAACCAACCACCACTCTCCAAATAGAAAATTGATTCAACCATCAAACAAAAGTACCCATCTTTGTATGTGCACAGCTGTTCTAATACACAGCATAGGAACCCCAGCAGACTCTGTTCTCAATTTTCTAGCTCTCTGCTCTTTCATTTGTACTTGTATTCTTATTAATTCATAGTTTATATATAATTTACTACGTTATTTGGGTAGCTGATAAAACACCAATAAATAGTATAAATTACGAGAGACAGTCAAAAAGTTCCTGGAATTGTGGTATAGCACTGTAATGGTAGGATATATGGCAACGCTTACCTAATCACATTCAAAGTAGGACCCTTGCGCGCACACACACACACTTGCTCCATCGATTCTGCCATTGTTGGATGCACCGGCGGAAGGCTTCGTTTGGAATCTTCTGGAGTTCGGCCGTCACATTCGATTTGATGTTCTCCATGGTTGCGAAACGCGTCCCCTTGAGGTCCATTTTCAGAGTAGGGAACAGCCAGAAGTCACTCGGAGCGAGATCCGGAGAGTATGATGGTTGGGTGATGAAGGGAATGCTTTTCTCGGCGAGGAATTGCTGCACAACCAGCGAGGTGTCGAATGTGACCGCCGAACTCCGGAAGATACCAAACAAAGCCTTCTGCCGGTGCTTCCAACAATGGCAGGATTGATGGAGCAAGTGTGTGTGTGTGTGTGCGCACAAGGGTCCTACTTTGATTGTGATTAGGTAAGCGTTGCCATATATTTTACCATTTCAGTGCTATACCACTATTCCGGGAAATTTTTGACTGCCCTACGTATGATGATTGCTCCAGCAGTAAGAACATTTTTAGTAAGGGGGCAGTGTTATAGGACAGCACTCTGCATGATGTCACAGTTTCAAGGTCAACTAAATTCTCCTCAGACAGTAGAAAGGCTAGTTCATATGTGTCTGCAATTATGTAACACAAATCCCTCTTCATATCATTAATTTGTCGCAGGTTCGACCAGTGTCAGCAGGACCATCTCTCCTTCAGTCACTGCCATCAGAAGGCAACATGGGACCCCTTGTGAGGTAAGCAAGTCTTTGGTTCTTTTATGAAACTCAGCTATTAAGTTTACATCAGTTGATAAAGATGGCAAGTTAATTGTGGAAAATTAAATACCTTTATTGAAGACTAGACCAGCAATGACAGAACATTGTAGTGCCCTGTTACGCCACTGGTTTGTTCTTTATACTCAGTGGTGAAGTTTCAAAAATGTGGATGTCTGTCTTTCCATATGGAACAACTCAAGAACTGTTGAACAGATTTTCAAGAAGTTAGATATTAGGAAGTTGCAGAAATCTATCGAGCTGGGCAGCTGAGTCAGTATAGTGACTGACTACAGACTGTAGGACCAGGGTTTGATCCCTGACGGACAGGATTTTCTTCTATCCTCTGTATCCAGACTGGCTCTGGCACCCACCCAGCCTTCTGTGCAGTGGGTACTGCGGACCTTTCCAGGGGGTAAAGCGTGGCTGGGATGTGATGCTGACCACTCACCCCCATCTAATGCCAAGGTTAAGAATGACTAGGAGCTGTACCTTTTCCCCCCACAAGCGCCTACATGGTGTAGTGGGACAGCTTTACTTTTTTTTTTTGACTGAAATCTAGCAACCAATGAAGACCTGCTTATGTTCATGTTACGATAGGATGCTATCTGGATTTACGGACTGCTTAAAGGATTATCTCAGTCCCTTGAGTCAGAGTTACGTTATGTTATTAACAAACATGTGACCTTCTTCCCACAGGCTGTATTGATTTATTTATTTCAGGCTGACTCAGCAACAGTAACTGTTACTTTTACATGTCTGGCTGGATGCTGCAGCTTCAGGATAGGGAAGGTAGAGTGTGTGTCCCAAGTGGACCTTGGTTTTGGTGTGATGATTTTGTTAGCTGTAAACATGCTCTGTTGCTTACACTTACTCCATTATTGCTTCCTATGTGCAGCGTAGTCATTCATAATGTGCCTCTCATTCCATCTTTTGCCTAAATGATGTGTGGATGGTGACCGTAGATATTACTTCCAGTTGGAAGTAGGGCTCAAGAGGAGAGTCTGGGGCGTTACCTTAAATCATTACCTGAGGTACTGAAATGCTACTTGTTAGCTGTGCGTGTACAAGTCAGTTGTACATTAACCTTAAAGTATGCGCAGATATCCGTCCCACAACAAATATTTTCATCTCGTATTACACACATTTTCTCTGAGAGTTAGTGACTGAAAAATTTACTAATTTCGCAAGAGGCGCATGAAAATGGAGAAGAAACTGAGCAGTAGCACAGTATACATGTATATAAGAGGGACTGAGTTTGAATCTTGACTAAATTACTGGTTTATAACTTTTTTTTTGCTAGTCTTAGTAGGCAGTTGCTGGTATAGTATCGTGAAATAGGCCATCATCACTGCCGTCCTCCAGTGCTTTGTCTACTCGCTGTTCACTATGATCAAATAACATGTATAATTCAAACGGTCGTTGAATAACCCAAGGACCTAACGTATTCATAAGAAAAATATGTGTAGGAAGTAAATATCAAATTTGATAAAATAAAATGAAACCTTTGATAAAGTCGCATATCAAAAATACTTTACTTATTTTTCATACTCCCATTTTAACATATTCAGACATGGCTGGAAATTACACTACCCTTCAGTCTAGATATGTTTTGACCAACAGGAATATTTTTACTGTAGAATGGAATGTGTTAAAATATTAAAATGACTATGTGTTTGCTGTTCTTCTGGGTTGTGGTGTTGTGTGGACTTGTACGTAGATAACAGTGTTTCAGAGAAACGTACTGTCTCCATCTTCAGTCCTGAAGACAGAGAAGTTACGTTTTTCCAAACTCTTGGGAGACTGTCCCTATTTCCATCATCAGAGTTAATGTGATGAGTAACGCAGCTACCCATTGTGCAGTATTTATACCTACAGTTGAGTCTTGAAGCCTGGTGTCCTTGCCCTAAGAGGGCACATTCAGTACATTAGATAATCATGTCACTCATCAAATTAACAGACAGTGTGTGAAACATTGAACATTAACTCGGTTCACACAGAGCTCATTGTCCGTGAAGACGTTATTGCTTTGAAAGTGGCATGGTTAATACTGGGCATAGGTGGAATGAGATGCATAGAATGTGTTGTTTTCTTTTATCCTTGTCATATTTATTATATCATTTTTACCTCCCATAATATAGGAGAGGAATGTGGCATGTTTGTATTAAATATCTTTTATTGCCATAAGGAACACTGATGGTCCATCAGAGTCTTGCATCTTTATGCAAGATATGTGCAACTAAAACCAGAAGGTGCTTCATTCGCTAAGATTGGTGTATTGGCCTACATGTCTCCTAGTATTGAACAAAATACTCGCACTATGAACTGTCAGATTTATCAGCACCTATCAATGTTATGTGGGATGTAATTAACCTGCAGTTACATATGAGAAACTGTCAGTGTTTTACTTAAAGTGGAGAAAGGTCATCGTAGAGAAGTGTATATTTGTTATGTCCCTTGATGAGCATGAACATGTATGTATATGTAAATAAGAAGTAGGCTCAAAAAACATGCACGTTCACTAAATTGCGAGGTTTTTAGAATGTCTGTCACATGATACTGTTATATTTGATTACTTGGCCAAATTATTGGAGGAAGTATGCTCTTTTCGTTATATGATTATGAATTAAAATTTAGTTAGCCATCCAGATTGGCCTACTTCTTTCAGCTGCTGAAACATGAAAAAATTCAGGAAAATTGCCACTGAAGAAGTTCCTGAAACTTCGGAATCATGACGAATATACTGTTTTAAATTAAGCAATGTGTTCTGGACTAAATGGGATAAGAGTTTATTGACACTATTGACAGTAGCAGTTTGAGAAGTGGGACACATACTCACCCTGAGGAAGCAATGAGTGGAATCTGAGCAGGGCAATCACTGAATACATCACTCATTGATGTAGAAATTGACTCGCACCATCCAATTCCAAGTACTTGCTACTGGAATGCACAATATTATGAAGTGAATGAATGCCACGATGAAAATATACCTGTGCTGGATGGAGATATGAGCCGGGATAGCTCAGTCAGTACAGTGACTAGCTAAGGGCTGGATGATGGGTTTGATCCCCAATGGGGGCAGAGGGTATTTCCTCTAGCCTCTGCGTCCAGACTTGCTCTGGGGCTCTCCCAGCATCTTATCCAATGGGTACCAGCGTCCTTTCCTGGGGGTAAAGCCCAGCTGGGGAGTAATGCTGACCACTCACCTCCATCTAGTGTCGAGAATGAGCAGGAGAAGTATTAATTCATGCTTTCTCAGCCTCATCAGGGATTTAAGAATGACACTAGAGTGGCTGTGACTGTCTATGTTATGTGGTAACACAATTCAGGAAGTATTAGCTGGTAGCAGTAAACGAAATAATAAATTAAGTAGAGGGGGAACCATGATGGTTAACACATCACCAGTTTGAGAAATTCGGAATGCAGGAGCACATTATACCTGAAGCAAAATCCATGTGGCAATAAAATAAAATTATTTTGTAAGTTATTATATCAGCCACAGGTGTTACCCCTCTCAGTCTTTGTACAAATCTCATTAACCTTGTTTTTAAACAGATTATCCGTGAAATGTAAAAGGATGTTCTTCATGAGACAGTTAATATTGCCATAAAATGTTGAAACATAATTTGAAGCTTAGAAGTTTCAGCCCTGTGGTGTTTGTAGAACTTTTAAATTTAAAATGAAATTACATTGTCATTGTCACCAACTAGTATTGTCTTTGTTATTCTTGCCATCATCTCTGTTATATTCTGACAAATGCATTCTTCTCTGCCACCATCGTTGTTGCATGGCTTTCTTCAGGCGGACCATACAAGTACTGGAACAATATCTCGTGTCACTCCGTGCCTTTCTGAATCAATGTACATAAAATCACTACTTTCATTGTTACTACATAACATCTTCAGTTGATACAGTGTCAGTAAATAAACATCCAGATCATCCTGAAACTTGTAATTGAGGCATCATGTGGCCTTAGACAGTAGGAAGGTTGAACACCGGGCAAAAAATTTTGTTTTGGCAGTTTTGTAGAAGTATCAGTACATGGCGATGAATGTATTGTGTGCATGTCCAATTTGATTGTTATTAACCCAGTATTAAATGAACTGCGATAAATATCTTATTCTCTTTACGCTGCTTCGATCAGACTTTTGGTGTAAGTACTTAGTGAATAACATATATAATTAAAATATTTTTAGTTGAGTCTTGGTTAATATCAAGTTAATAGAAGAATTTACTGCCTTATTCTCCTTTTCCTTTGCAGAACATTGTTTTTTAAATTTTATTTTATCATATTTAAATGCTTACAGAGAGAGTTACATCTGCTGTTGAATTAGTATATACTTATTGATAAATTTAATCACAAGGCATATTCTGTTCAGATACAGTTGACAGTCTTAATTATTGTTGAATATTCTGTCAGTTTAAATGCGTAAGTTTGTAGATCTTTCCACAAGCCATGTTATATTTCATTTATCACGAGAACAGTTAATAAAAGTCTAAAAGTTAATATAATTAGTTTAGTTACCAAATTATTGCATATGTTTTATTTTTGAGGCAATAATTAGAACTCAAATCATGTAACTTTGATGTCACTATCTATGAGTTTGTGGTAAAAGGATCATAATATAAAGTAAATGACACACAGGTACCTACCAGTCTATTTCACTGTAGTGCACAAACAGTTTGATATTCAAAATGGAAAAAAGTTTATCATACTTCAGATTTGACTGATGAAATTACATCTTTGAATGGACCACCTTAAAATAAATGTAGATTTGGACAACTGAAAATGATGCAACCAAAAGAATCGTGTGGGTTTCCTTATAACAAAACCTTAGCAAGCCATTTAAAAGATACATTTTAATACTATAACAATGTAAATACAGACATAGAACATAATAGTTGACATTTATTTTTTTCATGAGTTCTGACCCTGTTTAGTTATTTTCAACTTTGTTGTGCATTACAGTAATATTGCCCTCAGCATTAAACTGGCATATGCACTTTCTGGCTATTTCCAATTATGTTTTACCTTCTACAACTTCCTTTTGTTGTTTTTCTTCTGGCTTACTGAACACTCCGGACTTCACAGATCTTGAAAGCAGTGTCACACTTTGTGGGATCCGCAGACTACACTGTGAGAGGATGTAAATCGTAAAATGCGCCGTTCTAATGCCCGTTCGTCTTTAATATTCAGTAGTGTTTCTATGCTGCCATAATATTTCATTACTTAATCTTGTGCAGTTTGACTGATACATGGGTCCAGAGGATCGTCCAGTGTCAGCAGGACCATCTCTCCTTCAGTCACTGCCATCAGAAGGCAACATGGGACCCCTTGTGAGTTTGACTGATACATGGGTCCAGAGGAGACAGCCATCACTGGGATAGCCGGAGGTAGGATGACAACCAGTAATGACAACTTCAAAATTCCCAGGGAAAGGGGTCTGGAAGCAGCGAAATAGCTTGGCTGCCTTAGAACTTGTTGCTGCAGTGACATCTAGATCCGAGCAATCGGGCATCCCTACAAGGAAGTATAGTGCTATTACCACATCCTCAACATTACCAAGACGAAGTCACATAGGAAGTAACAGCATAGCAACCAAAACCTGACAGAATTTGTAGATTTGTATGTTGTATGTTGTGATATTTTGAATATTGATGGTGGTCCAGTTGCCTGCTCTAGGATATCGAAGATCCTTCTTTCCCACACATTCATATCTGAAATTGACATGTATTTAAAATTAAAATGGGTAGCTGGCGTATTAATTGCTGAATAGCATACTGTGTACCTCATAAATTATTCTCTTTATTTTCACACATTCCATTGTACATTTTTATTAAATTATTGTTTTAAAGAAAGAAAGAAAAAAAAACAGAGAGAGAGTCAATAACGAACCTCGTTCCGAGATGCATGAAATTATTGTTAATGTAAACATGTCCAATTATAATAGTAATATATCTTAAAGACCCAAGGTCATTCTGGTTACGATTTCCTATTGTAAATAAGTTTTCAGTGGAAATTATTCCAGATCTTCAGTGTAGGTAGTTACAGTGATATAAAAACCCAAAACATATTAGTAAAAGTATCTAATTTCTTTTATTATTGCAATCATTTGCGACTCAACACTGACCAGTATCTCATCGGCCTATAGCAATCTGGTGCAGGCACAACAGTCAAAAAAACTTCTAATAATTTCTGTCCAAAATGAACTCTGCAGTTGTACAATGATTTTACATTATTTAAAATTAGACTTTCTGTAATTACATACATCTTGCAAAATATACTATTAATTGGTAAATATGCTAGGAATTATATGAAGCATAAATACATAAATGTAGTATATTATGACTGTTATTTGTTGTTATAAAATTAATCAGGAAGAGGCATACAACCCTGCGATGTGTATATTTATTGTTCTTTGTACAGAAATGTGAACGAGCAGAGTGGGAAACATATTTGTATATATGTGGTATTTTATAGTGTGGAGGAGATGGGAAGATAGATACGTGGTAATACTCGGGTGCTGGAAATACTAAATGCGCTAATGTAGGTGATTTTTAAGTTCTGTTGGCAACTTGCAGAAAGGGAACTGCAAAATTTAAAGAATTAATGGTCCAAGCTCACTGAACCAAAGCTACTGTATTTACACACAAAATTTTCACCCCTAAATAATGGCTGCTCCACAGTATGGCATGAGTTTGGTGCTCTGTGCTTCCATAAACAAAAGCTGCATTTGTATGATCTGATGTTTTCATGGTGACCAAGTATAATGAATTCTACTTATGCTACCAGCTGGTAGCCTGAGAAGAATTCACCGCAAAAGCTACATTTGTTTTCTTAAATTTCTTTTTTATATTTCACTGGTAGCTGAATTTACATGTTCTTTTAGTCACTGACATTATCAACATTGATGATGGCTGTCTTCTGGGTTATTGCACTGTGTAGTCTGATAGAAATTTACCGATGTAAGATTTGAGGTTTTCACAGCGGCGAGTATGAAGATTTCTGTCTTCTGGGTTGTTGCGCTGTGTAGTCTGGTCGATGTTTACCAACGTTTCAGAGGTCATACTGCCTCCGTCATCAGGGCGATGAAACGTTGGTAAACTTCTACCAGACTACACTGCGCAACAACCCACAGGACAGCCATCTTCCGACTCACAGCCGTGAAAACCTCAAATCCTACTTATCAATATTGATTTAGTGTTCATTCTTTTTGAATATACTTGTATACGGGAATTGTTCGGCAACGTTTAAAGCTCAAGAGATTGAAAATAGGAAGGAGGAGCATTTAGTTTTTAGTTGGTGAATAAGTGGGTTTTTAGTGAAGAAACCAGTGGAATTAAAATACATTGTATCTGGCCAGACATGTTTGAGGTCTAAAAATTAGGACATTACTAAAGTATGTTGTGTAGGTGTCAAGTAATCAGCTCTGCGCGTGTCATAAAAAGTTTTAAATTTAAAGTGTGTGATGTAGCCGGGATGAAATTAATCTTTATGGTGTGGGAATAAGGGATTTAAATTCCTGTAATACATGTCTTACAGATTCTTAGAGAATTCAGCTGATTCTGAAAATTTACGAGATTCTCTCTTCAGAATTTGAGATTTGAACTGTCAGTAAAAGTATGATGATAAATATAATAATTATATGCAGTGAGCACACTTATGAAAATGGCACCGAACAGATTGTTTACCTATTAACGGGAAGACACTTACGAAAATGGCACTGAACAGATTGTTTACCTATTAACGGGAATTGCTGATGGTGGAAACTTTTAATTTAAATCCAAATTTTAATGTGATTATGAAGGAAATTGAAATATATTATAAATGAGTACACTATTCATATGTTTCTGCCATGAAATGGTTTTACTACTTCAGGACTTTTATGATGCAGTACGTTTGTGCTCCTGCGGTGTTGCTTCGGCATTTATTGATGATTTGCCTCTTGTAATGAGACAATGAAGCAGGTTGCTTGTGGTGAGAGGCACAATTATGTTTTATTTGTAATAATATCACGCAAATGCAGTATTTAATTTACTTTTTCTTTTAAAGTAACTGGCTCTTAACACAAACAATAAATTAAACTGATTTTCTTTTAGCATTTTTCCTTAATTTAGTTTGGTCTTCTTTCTTTGTAAAATGGGCAATGTAATTTTTCACTTTTTGCCTCAATTTTTTCTTATTTCCTTGAAACACTGTGTGAAAAATGAATTGGGGAAAATTCGAATAGAAATTGTTTCTGTGAGCTACCTACTAAACATGGACGAAATAGATTAAGAAATGTTGTCCCTATAGTATTATTGTGAATGGTGCATCTCTTTTGGCTTTAATTTATTTTAGTAATAAATAAACATATTATTGTGTTTGGTCAGTTAAAATACTGTTATATACTTCCATTAATACATGCATTTGTAAAAACCAGTGAAATCCTGTGTTTTGGTGAAGAATAAAATAGCATCTGCATAGTATGAACGATTTTAATGGTCAAGTCATTCATTTAAAAATAAAACAAACCATTGCTGTTCTAATTAACTCCAGAGTCATTCATTATATGATGTCTCAGTCAGTCCACATTCTGATTGAGATTGCAAAAGGGGCTCTCAAGTTTTCCATTCAGTTGGCTTTCCTTTTTCATGTCACATTTATGACATTTCTGTAATCTCCATCTTCTCGACTAGCCTCCTCTTCATGCTAAATACTAAGTACATGAGCACCACAATTGCTATATCAGGTATACTTCTTCTTTCTCATCTCCCTTTTTGCCTTTATAGCGTCAGGGTTGATTGCTCGGTCCATCTCCTCCATTCCTTCTTACCCCTTGCTAAGAATTTTATCTGTGTTATACTTTTCAATTTTGCCTGTCCTGTTTCTCTAATAGTATCGAAGTAGCTCTTCTAGGTCTTCCTCTTGTTCTGGTACCCTCAACTCTAGCTTCCAAAAATTGTTTCGTCTTTCTTTCATCTGCCATTCGAACAACGTCCTAACCATTTCAGTTGTTTTTCTTCTAATTTTGTTTTAAGTGATTTTGGTATACAACTGTTCCTTTCTTTCAGGTTTATGGATGTTTTTTAGAAATTGAGTCCCATTATATTTATTAAAATTCTGTCTTCCCAATTTTGGATCCTTCGTACCTCAACGTTGCTGTCCCATGGCTTCAGTGGCACTTCTAAATTTCTTATAGGGAACTCGAAAAATGAAGGTTGACTTTACCCTTGTCACTACCTCTTTCTTCAACTCAAAATTTGGAATCCAGACCAAACTTTAATGAATTCTTATCAGGCTACCACCCATGCCACGTGGTTAAAAGGGGAAAACAACGTTTCAGAACCATCTTCGCCTTCATCTTCAGGGTACTGCAGGTAGAGACAACCAACCTACCAACCAAAAAGCTAAGAGCGGAATCCTGCGCGACTGTGAAATATCGTACATTGGTAGATAGCAGGTACCTGCACACGAAACACATTGCTGGAAATGGTAACAGTGTTGTATGGTTGTCTAGTGGAAGGAATAATAAATTTCGAAAATTTATCAAAATTTGGAACATGCACATCAGAAACATGCCTCTCCGTCTCTGCCTGTGTCGTTCTCTTCCGCACCCGGCCTCTGCCAGTGTATACCAGACCGTCGCTGATGTGCCCGTTCTCTGCCTCAACCAGTTTATGCCTGACCCAGAATTTTCCGCACCGGATCTCTGTCGGAGACGGTGTCTGGCCGTCCGTGTGTGGTGCGGCTATCAAAATTAGATTTTTTTAAAAAAAATTGAAATACGTAAATGTCCAAAAAAAGGTATTAACCGAATTTTTTTAAAAAAAATTTAAATTTTTTTTGAAGTTGAAATTTCTTTTGTGCGCTCTTTGGACATTTTTTGATTTTTCAAAAATGTTGAAATTTTATCCAACTACTCTCCAACTGATCTCTGCCAAACACGGTCTCTGCCGTGTCACGTCTCTGATGAGCCAGTTCTATACCGGACCATGTCTCTGATGAGCACGGAGACCGTGCACATCAAGACATGCCTCTCCGTCTCTGCCTGCGCCGTTTTCTTCCGCACACGGCCTCTGCCGGACACGGTGTCTGCCGTGTCCGGTCTCTGACGAGGCCGGTCTATACCTGACCATGACTGATGTGCCCGTTCTGTGCCTCTCCCAGTCCATGCTTGACCCAGCCTCTTCCACACCCGATCTCTGCCGTTACTGTGTGTGGTTGTACCACTATTAAATTTCGAAATTTTTTAAAAATTTGAAAAACGTGAATGTCAAAAAAAAGGAATTTTTTTTAAAATTTTTGAAACAATTTTTGAAATTTGTTTTGTTTTGTACTCTTTTTGGACATTTTCCAACATTTTTTGATTTTTCGAAAATTTTGTCCGAACTACTCTCCAACCGATCTCTGCCGTGTCACGTCTCTAACGAGCCAGTTCTATACCGGACCATGTCTCTATTTGCACGGGGACCGTGTACATCAGAGACATGCCTCTCCGTCTCTGCTTGTGCCGGTCTCTTCCGCACCCGGCCTCTGCCGGACACGGTGTCTGCCGTGTCCGGTCTCTGACGAGGCCGGTCTATACCAGACCGTCGCTGATGTGCCCGTTCTCTGCCTCTACCAGGCCATGCCTGACCCAGTCTCTTCCGCAACCGATCTCTGCCGGAGACGGTAACTGACCGCCCGTGTGTGTGGTTGTACGACTATCAAAATTCGAAAATATTTCGAAAGTATCAAAAATTTGAAAAACGTAGTGAATGGCAAAAAAGTATTCAACCAAAAA